CCGTTTAAAGGGCCACTGGTGTTGTCTGTATGGGAAGCTGGACCAGGCCGATGACAACATCCCCACGGTTATATCCGTATGCTGTACCCTCCATAACATTTAGAATCAGCCAGAATTGGGGACCTCCATAACATTTGTGAAGGGAAGAGTGAAAGATTCACTCAGGCATGGACCACGGAGGTTCAACACTTGGAAGCTGAATTTGAACAGCCAGAGAGCAGGACTATTAGAGGGGCCCAGCGCGGGGCTGCAAGGATTAGGGATGCCTTGAGGGAGCAATTTGAGGCTGAAAGCCACCAGTAATGTTTGGTGCCCTGCACGGGAGTGAAGTGCAGTGGTTCCAATGTTAGTAGGAATCTGTGTTTGCTACGTATGATGCACTGACTTGCAGTGCCTGTTGCTTTCCTGGGCTACGGTATCTTTTACTTAATGCAATAGTAAAGAATGTTTTCAAAGCCAAAAAATTCATTTATTGAAAAGAAACACAACTGCTTGGGAAACATAAAGGTCATGACACATCTGTGCTTTGTGGGCTGAGGGAAAGGGGTGGGGTGGGGTGCGGAACGGGACAATCACAGATTTGCGTATGTCCTGTTATCGTACTCCACCTTCCTGTCTGAGTGCTGCACTTCAGGATGGCTATAATGCATGGTGATGGGGGTTGAGTGCAGTGGGTAAGGGTCGTAGTTTGCAGGGCTGGGTGGTGAAGCTACAGGTGTTGGAGGCAGCTGGTGGTGATAAGAACCCGGATGTTGGGGAAAGGGGGTTGGCAGTGACATGGGGGCACAAGGGAAAACGTTTTGGGACAAGGGTTGCAGGGAGGGGGGGAGCATGAAAGTGCTCCGCCTGCATTGCTATGAGCGCCTGTATCGAGTCTGTTTGGCGCTCCATGATGCTTAGCAGCTGCTCCGTGCTTTGGTGCCGGCGATCCGCATTCTACTGGCGAACCCCCCTTTCTCTCTCCCGCCATTCCTGCACTTTTTGATTTTCATTAAGGGACTGCTGCATGACTTCATGCAGCATGTCCTCTTTGCTTCTTCGCGGACGCTTCCTGATTCTTTGGAGTCTTTCGGCCGTTGATAACAAGGATGGCTGGGATCTCAAGGTTGAATCTGTAAAGCCAAAATGCAACACTTAACAGAGGCAGCATTGTTCACACCAGACAGAGCAATGATTCGGCTGTACTTAAAGACAAGCACAGAAATAGCAAAAATTGCCCGTCCCAAAGCGAGCGCACATAACCCACAGGAGCCCCAAAATGGTGAGTAGGCACAGGTGCAAAGGGGACTGATTGTTTCACTGCCGTACTGTCCTCTGGGTTCTGTGCCTTGGGGAGAGCCAACAGCTGCAGGGGGCCCCTGTACTGAACACTGTCCCCACATTTTCCATGGGATGAGTTCGTCCTGGAAGATCTCTCACTGCTGAGGGTGACCTGGGATGCAAGGGAGGGTCTTTTACTACAATGCGGCTTCCACCCTGGCCCATATGCAGCTTGCCTGTGTGCAGCAATGGTCCCTCTGCCCCTCACGGCACAGTGGTCTGGACATGTTAGCCTTGGGACAAGGAGCACAGTAGCTCTGCCAAGGAACCTGCGCAAGCACATTGCCCAGCTTCTGCATGAGACCTTTGAAGAGATCACTGAGGCCGATTACCGCAATGTGAGAGAGCACATCAATGTCCTATTCGGTATCTAGGCATGCATGCAGCCCTAACCCGCCTCACCCCCAGAGCCCACACCGAACAACTTCCTTCCCAAAATAAAAGCTGCTTACTGGGCACCTCCTCTGGTGTTTGTTCTTCCCCAAGCACCATCCACTGCAACTGGCTGCCTTCCTCCTGGCTTGAAAACAGCTCCTGGCTGCATGCATCTAGGGATGTCGGGCTGTCCCCCTCCTCCTCAGCACCCTTGCTCACGCTTTTCCTCCTCCTCCTGCCTTGTTGAACTGGGCTCTGGTGGTCTTCGGAGTGGAGGTGGGGTCGCCCCCCAAGTATTGCATCCAGCTGTTTGTAGAAACGGCAGGTCGCGGGGGCAGCACCAGAGCAGCAGTTTGCCTTGCGCACTTTGCGATACGAATTCCACAGCTCCTTCACTTTAACCTGCACTGCAGTGCTTCCTGGTCATGGCCCCTTTCCATCATATCCTGTGATATCTGCCTGAAGGTATCGTAATTCCTACGGCTGGAGCACAGCTGGGACTGGACAGCTTCCTCTCCCCAAACACTGATGAGGTCCAGCACCTCGCCATTGCTCCAAACTGGGGATCACCTGGCGCATGGAGGCATGGTCACCTGGAAAGATTCGCTGAGAGCACTACATGCCTTGCTGAGCAAACAGGAAGGGGATTTTCAAAATTCCCAGAGAATTTAAAGGGTGGGTCTGATGGTTGGTCACCTGAGGGAAGGGCCGTAGAGTTCAAAGTGATGACCAGAGTGGCTAGAACAAGCCTTGTGGGACGCTTCTGGAGGGCAATCAGAGTGCATTAATAGATCAGGGCGTCCATACTGGTGCCATGGGGCTCCAGCCGGGACGCAGCAAGTGTTATGCTTCTTGTGAAGGTGGATTGCCAGGAGCGCTCCAGCCGCAGAGTCCGGGCGCTCTATGTGCCTTGCCAGTGTGGACGCATCATGAGTTAGGGTGCCCGGGGCTGATTTAATGCGCTCTAACTCGCAAGTGTAGCCAAGCCCTAAGAAAAATCATTTTTTTGTGTATTCTGAACTAAAGAGGTAAAATTTTGACCAGTGAGCTGGTCTATAAATTCTATATGCTAATAACTTCACAGTGTCCCAAAAGCAGTCCCCCACCCACACACGCTCTATTCTCTGCATGAAACAGGCTGGTGTACCTTAAGTGCATAGTAAAATTTATAGAAATCTTGCAAATTCTACATTAGAACTGCCTAATGTTTATAAGAATGATTTACTATTGTACTTATTAAGGCCTCTTGGGCCTCTTTTATAGAAATATTCCACTTATCTGTTCAATCCATAAACATGAAAAAGTAAAGTAGGTAGGACTTATTAATGCACTCTTTCACAGTGATTGAGTGCTTAAAGTTTGCGAACTCTGGTTAGCATCAGTATAGTTTATAGTGCTGAAAATCTTAAATTCTACTATCAAGAAAAGCATTTCCTGTTCTGGGTCCCCATAGTGCCCTGATCCATGAATTTTTTTGCAGTTTCAAAAGAAACACCAGTTATGATCCATATATCATAGTAGCCCTGGTTTTAGTCCATGTAGCAGTTCTGTAGCATTGAGTGCAATATTTTTTTTAAACTGGACTGATTCCAGATCATACTTTAGCATGTAGAAGTATATGCTTATATTCAGTCATCCAAGTAAGAAAGCAGTCTTCCGCGCCCCCCCCCCCTTCGCTCCCCCCCGGTGTTTATATCAAAGAGTGAACCTGGTAACATGTTTGAAAGCTTCTGGAAAAAAATTGTTGATGCAGACAGAAATGTCGCACATAACTTGAAGTCTGGAATAGATTAAGTGACTGGATGTTAAGATAGCTCCTAAAAGTGGTTAGTGAAACCAGTTTTATGCCAGATACGGTTTCTCTGTTGGGGAGCAGGGTGAGGGGAGACCCTGGACAGCGAAACTCTTAAAATTTGGGTACCATGAGATTATTCAGTGTTGTACAGTATCACAGAAGGAAATAGTAAGACTCAGTGATGGTAAAAGGCTGAGAGATCACTCAAGGTAGAAAACAATAGCTTGTTTTCAACAGCATGTAACACCTTCCGCTTATCTAATGAATATTGCTGAACGTTTTCTCATGTGAGGTTAAATAGAATTTAGAATGAAGAAAATCAAGTAGTTTGCTTATTAATACAAAAAATACATAACCTATAACATGTGCCAGTATTATGGGGTGCTAATTGTAAACTTTAGAACATCAAAGACTAGTAATGCAGGGTTCAGCTTTGCTAGATGACAGTAGATCAGGGGTCGGCAACCTACGGCACGCGTGCCAAAGTTGGCACGCAAGCCGATTTTTCCTCGCACGCGGGGTGGGCCGAGCCGCTCAGCCCCGCCACCACTCTGGAGTTCCCGCTGCCAGCTCCTGCGGGACCCGCCGCAGGTCCAACTCAGCACCTGCTGCTGGCCTGGGGGGAAGGAACCCCAGGCTGGCAGCGGGCTGAGACCCCGGCTGGCAGGAGCCGCCGGTGAAAACCCCAGAGCCGCGGCAGGCTGAACTGCTCAGCCCGCCTCGCTCTGGAGTTCCCGCTGCTGGCTCCTGCCAGCCAGGGTCCCCGCGGGTCCAACTCAGCACTCGCTGCTGGCCTGGGGGGGAAGGAACCCCAGGCTGGCAGCGGGCTGAGACCCCGCTGGCAGGAGCCGGCAGCCGAAACCCCAGAGCAGGGGTCGGGCTGAGCCAGTCGCTGCTCTGGGGTTCTGGCTGCTGGCCCCTCGCCAGCAGGGGTCTCTACCGCGCAGCTCCACTCACCTTGCTTCTGGTTAAAGGCTCTCTTGCAGACAGGGTCAAGGCCTCCAGCCCTGCTGAGGCCTACCAGCCACCTACTCCACTCACCTCAGCTTCCAATCTTGGTTTCCAGCCCTTGCTCAGCCTGCTTTCGGGCCTGGAGTCCCAGCAGGCCACCCTTTACATATAACAGTAGTTTGGTTATATATTATAGACTTATAGAGAGATCTTCTAAAGCGTTAAAATGTATTACCGGCACGGTAAAATGTATTACCGGCACGCAAAGCTTTAAATTAGAGTGTATAAATGAAGCTTCGGCACACCACTGCTGTAAGGTTGCCGACCCCTGCAGTAGATTAACAATGCTAAGCTTTTCAGAGTTTCTGCCTCACCCTTTCTTCTGTTTTTCCACACACACACACAACTGTTTTAAATCAGCTGGAAGGGATGACTGAGCTAGGAGTTGAAGCTGTCTGTGTGGGAGTTATCAGCAAAATGATCATTGTCTTCCTCTGTAAATGAGCTTGAAAAGATGACCAAAAACTAATAAATACGTGCATCTATTTCTCATTGTCAGGAGCAAGAGCAAAAGGCTGAAGAAGAGAGGATTCGAATGGAAAACATCCTGAGTGGCAACCCTTTACTAAATCTTACAGGCCCAGTGCAGCCTCAGGCAAACTTCAAAGTGAAGAGAAGGTACTATGCTCAATATACATTTGTCCCTTCCTGGAGCTCCAGCAGTCTATAAAGCAGCTAAACTAGTATCACTACCATTGATTTTATTTCTCCACTCAAGCCTTGCGTCAACAGTGTGACATGAAATTAAGGCATTGTAACATGAGGATGGTAGTTTTGTGTTTTTTTTCCAAAAAGACCACCCTGGTTCTTTTTGGGCAAAGAGAATTGCTTTGACAATTTAATTGCTTTGCGTTACCATCCATAGCACAATATGATTACAAGAGGCAATGTGGCGAGAGTTCATACGCAGACTCATTGTTACACTTTTCTAAACACATATATCTACTTTGGATCGTTAGCGTGAGTGACTAGTGAAATTTTTTGTGCTGGCGCTTTTTTTATGGTTTGTTTTCTATTGATTATAGTACGGTTTCTGTTAGGAAATATTCCGGGTAGTATTCCATTTAACTAAAATAGGGAATAGATGAGGGGTTTACGAGCTTCACTCAAAAGTAGGGACCTCTGAACATTCAGAGAACTTTCTACAGTTTTGACTGGACTTTCTCTTTCCTGTGCTGATTGGCTGTTTGCGCCAGCCCTCGCCCTCCCTCCGTCTCTTCACTTCAGTTTCACTCAACATCTTACCCTCTTCTTCCCTCTCTTGTCTCCTGTCCCGTCACTTTTCTTTCCATTTAGCTGATCCCCACCTCATTAAACACATCTTTTTTTTTTAATTGTAGAGCTAACATGCTGTTTGCCATCACATTGTTCACTTTGCTTGTGTATTGGTCTCATCCTGCGTCCATCCTATGACTGTCTTGTCTATTTCGTTTGTAAGCTTTTTGAGGCAGGGATTGATTGCTGCTCTTCGTTTGTACAATGCCTAGAACAATGGAACCCTGTGATAAATGAAGGGAGGTATAGCTCCCTTTGATAGACACCCAGCCAGCCAGTTAGCTGTAAAATCCTTCTTGGTAGCTGTTCTCTGCTTGCTTACCTGTAAAGCGTTAACAAGCCCACGGGTTAAAGAAAAGGAGTGGGCACCTGACCAAAAGAACCAATGGGAAGGCTAGAACTTTTTAAAATGGGAAAGAAACTTTCCCTTTGTCTGTTGTTCTCCAGAGAAGCAGGGGCAGAGCAGCGATGCTATAAGCAGGAATGCTGTGTAAGGTTTGATCCAGATATGATCATTTATCTTCCATACCTAGAAGATAGGGAACGTTTAGATAAATGTGATCAGGTTTATTCTTTATTTTGGCTTGCGGATCTCCTTGGTGCTAACCTCAGATGTTTTCATTTGCTTGTAACCTTTAAGCTGAACCCACAAGAAGCTAGTTTGGGTGCTTAATTTTTGGAATTGCTCTTTTAAAATCCAGCAAGTGCCTAAGTTCCAGATGTATTTTCTTTCTTTTTGTTTTAATAACTTTTTTTAAGAACAGGATTGGATTTTTGGTGTCCTAAGAGGTTTGTGCATGTTGTTTGATTAGCTGATAGCCACAGCTAATCTCCTTTGTTTTCTTTCTCAGCTCTTCCCCGGAGGGGGGGGGGTGAAAGGGCTTGAGGATAACCCCACAGGGAGGAATTCCCAAGTGCTCCTTCCTGGGTTCAGAGGGGTTTTTTTTGCATTTGGATGAGGGCAGTGTTTACCAAGCCAAGGTCAGAGAGAAGCTGTAACCTTGGGAGTGTAATACAAGCCTGGAGTGGCAAGTAATAATTTTTAAAATCTTTGCGGCCCCACTCCCCCACCTTCTGCACTCAGAGTGACAGAGTGGAGATTCAGCCTTGACAAGCCCTATTTTCTTTAGTCCTTAAGCATTCCCTAATGAATAGGATTTAATAATAATGCTTTCATTTTTTACTGTTACTTAACACAGTAAAGACTTTAGGGTATAAGAGAGATAATGTGGGTGAGGTCGGGGCACCATTTCAGATGTTAATGGGGGGGGGCAACTTTAACCATGATTCCAGGGGCTACATAGGCACCTGAAGATTCTAGGTGGGTTTTTTTGTTTTTGTTTGTTTTTTTTGCAGATAACTTAGAAATTGGCTGACAGGAACACTGCATCTAATTCCTTTATAAAGAACGAAAATTAAATAAATACTAGACCCACTCAGCTCTAATATTAACATGTTCTGACATCTTGTGTCAAGTCACTTGTCTTAAGGGACACTGAATTTTAGTGTATATTCTTTGTTACTAACTCTTGAATACAACAATTAAAACAATTTGTAGAAAAATCTGTATTGCTTTCTAGCACTTTTTTGCAGTTCACCAAGCTTGGAATAGATCCATTTAACTTCTGGAAACATCCTACTAGGGCAAGACCCTGTGAGTTTATACTGCACCTGCTTGGGGCTCTAGGGGTGTTACCCCACTACAAATAATAGACTAAAAACTGACTTTAAGTAGGCGTGAAACTGACACTTTCAAGTCACTTTCACAGTATTGCCAACCCCAAATGTTCAAAAATCATGAATCAGGCTCACCAAAAATCATGAGATTATGTAAAAATAATAGATTTGGTGTTCTTTTTATTTGTCTTCTGCTTTTTGAGCCTGAAGGTTTCTCCACAGCCATGAGGGCTAGGAACTTCATTTTTCTTTAAGAATTAAGGCTGAAATCATCACATACCCCTTGACTCCAGGGCCTCTGGCTTTAAGGAAAACAATAATTATCATGAGACTCATGACAAAATCATGATTGTTGGCAACACTGTTTTCACTTCTGTTTGAAGGCTAGTTACTTTCCAGAAGGCTGTTAAATATAACACTACAATGATTGAGTTGCATTTCTCACAGGAGAATACTTAAAATCAAACACCAAGAAAATTCCACATTTTAAAGTTGAGAAAAAAATTGATACTTCTGAGCATAGGCACCAACTTTTCCCTGCGCTGGTGGGTGCTCGACACCCCTCCCCCCCGCCCCGACTCCACCCCTCCCCACACCCATTCCAGCCCCCTTCCCCAAAGTCTCCACCCCTCCCTGCCCCTATTGTACCCCTTCCCCAAATCCCCGCCCCGCCTCTTCCCCGCCTCCTCCCCTGAGCGCGCCGCGTTCCCGCTCCTTCCTCATCCCTCCCAGCGTTTGCCGCATGAAACAGCTGTTTTCCGGCAGCAAGCGCTGGGAGTGAGGGGGGAAAAGCGGGCACGCGGCGTGCTCAGGGGAGTAAGCGGAGCAGAGGCGGAGCTGAGCTGGGGCGGGAAGCTGCCGGTGGTGCAGAGCACCCACCAATTTTTCCCTGTGGGTGCTCCAGCCCCAGAGCACCCACGAGTCGGCGCCTACGCTTCTGAGGTATATCAAGGCCACTGCAAGCAGGAAAGAAAAATAAACAGGCACAGGAGCTCTGAGCACTCCTCCTCTTGAAAGGAAGTTGAAGGGTTAAATCTTCTGATCCGTAATCAAGTAAAACTTCTATTGCGATCAGCACCTCCACTCATAAATATTAATATGTGCTCAATAACCATACACTTAATACTTAAATATCTGAGCCATCTTATCCAGGGCTACACATCTTATATGCATTAGCTTAGGGGCTACATTTTCTGGCATATTCTAACCGGTGCTGAGCACACAGATTGTGCCCAATGAATAATACAAATCATGACCATAATCGTCAACTTCATAGACTCTGGATGCAATTTCTGTTCTTGTGGAATTGGCCTGGATACATCTAAAACCCTAATAATTTGAGGCATAAACACATCTGATATTCATATGACACTTTCTCATTCCTTCCTTTTTTCAAACTCAAAAAGCAAAAATGACAAAACAAAATGATTTTCAGATAAAATGTAAAACTGTACAGCAGCCATTTCTTAACAACTCAGCCTGGGGCAGAACCTGACTCCCCTTGGGGGTTAAGTGATCTTTCATCTGACTCTCATTGTCTCTTTCTCCATTGTTCCTGACCTCTGTGCTGCTTTTCATGCTGTCAACCATGACATCCTTCCCAACTGACTGGGACCGTTTGCTGGAGTCTCCTAGAACTGGTCTTGATTTTGCTCCCATCTATCAGAGTCCTCTCTCTTCCCACCCACCCCCATCCTCTCCCCCCAAGTGTGCAGCAGAGAGAGAGGGTGGTCCAGTGGATAAGGAGCTAGCCCTGAGAGACCTGGGTTCTACTTACCCTTTGGGCTTTCTGTATGACCTTAGGCCAGTGCCTTAGGGACAGAGTTCCAAAGGTTTTTAGGCTCCCAAAGATGGAGCTATACATCTAGTGGGGTTTACAAAGCACCTAATCTTCTAGGTATGCATCCGAAGAAGTGGGCTGTAGTCCACGAAAGCTTATGCTCTAATAAATTTGTTAGTCTCTAAGGTGCCACAAGTACTCCTGTTCTTTTTGCTAATCTTCTAGGTGATTTGAAAATCCCACTAGGTGTCTAAACACCTTTGAAAATCTGGCCTTTGGTCTGTGTGTGCCTGTGCACCTCATCTGTACAATGAGAACAGCACTGCTCTACCTCACCAAGAGGCTGTGAGGAGAAATAGGTTAGGCGTTGTGAGGTGCTCAAATACTATGGTGATGGGGCCACATAAGTACTACAAGTAGAGTGGGAACTTCTCTATACCACTGCTATCCCTTCCTTTGTTTTTGGCCCCTTCTTTTCACCTACGCCCCTCACATCTCTCTCTTTTCTGAATGTTATCTTGGGCTCCGAGGGCTTGGCAGTATTTCGAGTCCGCTGCCTTCTCTCTTCAATACCCTTCACTCCCTGCAGAGAGATTCTTGTTTTACAGACTCATTAATGACTTCCAGATCCTTAATTTAGTTACCAGCCCTTTCTTATCTTAATCACCCTGCCTCTGTAAACAAAATACTGACTGCCGCAGAGGCTTTGAGCAGCACCTTTCCTCTGCAGAACTCATGCTGTGCTGCAGTTAAGAGCTCCACCTGACAGCACACCACCTGTAGGAAACTGGGGGTGGGGGGGAGAGCAGGAGCCCCTCCTCCCCTCCAAATGGTACCCCTGAGTGAAGTAATCTATTTTATTGGACCAACTGCTGTTGGTGAAAGAGAGAAGCTTTTGAGCTACACAGAGCTCTTCAGGAGCTCAAAAGCTTGTTTGTTTTCATGAACAAAAGTTGGTTCAATAAAAGATATTACCTCATCCACCTTGTCTCTCTAATATCCTGTGACCAGTATTGATACAACAACACTGCAAAAAAAACTTTAGGATACAGTTTGTATGAAAAACACACACACTAATTGTATTTTGGTTTTTTAAAATCAGTTCAGATGTGTGTGTTGAGAACAGTTTTTTTTCTAAAAAGAAAGTGATCTTCTGCAATCTACAAAGTACTATTTAAACAAGTATTTAAGTTGCTCTGCCTTAATTTCATGTAGTAAATTTTAACCATACAGCTAAATATTTTGTTTTTCTTTCAGATGGGATGACGATGTTGTCTTCAAGAATTGTGCCAAGGGAATAGATGACATGAAAAAGGACAAAAGATTTGTAAATGATACTCTGCGATCTGAATTTCACAAAAAGTTCATGGAAAAATACATCAAGTAGTACAGTTTTATGTGCTCCATTGCTGAAAGACTCAAAGGGTCAAGGTGACTTCCCCTCTATGGTGTACCTCCTCCCCCCCAAAAAAAGAATAATGGCTGAAAATTGTCTCCTGCCATGAATTTCCAAATGCTTTTCCAAGGTCATTGACAGCATTTTAATTGTCGCCTTGTATCTGGAGTGTTTTATCCTTTTCAGCATCATTTTTTGTTTTAACTAAACCTGTTTCTGTTTAATTCAGTGGATATGCATTTACTTTTAATGGCCTTCATGTAAATGTTGGAAGAGAGACTGGTTTGCAATAAATACTTTAATTGTCTAAATACTGTTTCTTGGGAAACAACCTGTATGTAATAGGGAGATTTGTAATTTATGCAGATTATGTAAATTTTCATATTCTTAAAGGTAAGTGAAATTCTACATGCTAGAAGAGAGTATTGAAGTTGCCTTTTTATGCATGAAATTTAATTATCTTCCTTCCTCTGATTAGCTAGTTGAAATCCAATATGAACTCCCTATCTGATGTCTTAAATATTGAGTGTTTCCCTGATGTACCAGTTAAGGATGTGGTCTGACTGCATAGCTCCAGGCTGTTAAAAATTCTGTCTTCATCTATATCATGAGTTCAACCTGATTCACTGCCTTGCCACAAGGAGCATCCAGCAGGTGTGCGACGAAGTGGTGTTCTGCCTCTAGCCAGGGAATTTCATTCTATGTAATCTTGTGTTCCTAAACCCCAGTCTTGCAGTCAGAGCCACATGGATGCAAGGTTGGAAGAGCCCAATCCTGCAGTCTTTAAATCTAGTTTCAGGACTATGTTTTCAATGAAGGTGGCACCCAACCCAGCCATCACACTAAACTTTTTTTTTTGTCAATTTGAACAAAACTCAGAATATACGTGGGAGAACTTTTCTGTTAATTCAGAGGATATCACAGTCTGTACAAAGTTCTTCAGCTATCAGAAGGATTTAATTCTCTTTTGTGATCACTGTCACATTTGAGATGCATATACCAGAGGAGGCTGAGTGACACATCGGATTGAAATACCGTCCTTTTATCTCTGGATACCGGAGTTCAAATCCTGATTTAGGTCACGAGTGAAAATGTTCAGTGGTTTCCTACTCACCATTAGTATTCATTTCAAAACCTCCATATACGATAACATGATTTGCAATCTCTACTTGAGAGATCTTAGAATGGAATAGCAGTTGTTACAGGTCAGGAAGGATTTAAGGTGCCTTTATGTAGAGTTTTTGCCTAGTTGCCTGCCCATGCTACATCTCACCATTTAGCCCTGTTGTTTCTGTAGCACCAATGTTGCTCACAGTCTCTTACTTAAAAATTAGTTGCATATTTTCAAAGTGATGGTCGGGGGTTTGAAATTTCAGGACAGATATTTCAGTCTTTTTGTTATAGCTGGTTTTTAAATGGTATCCTGTTAAACTACTGTATTTGAAGCATATTTGTATTCCCGAGGCAATTCCGTTAGTTTTCGTATTTTTCCCTTTTTTTATGGTAAGACAAGATGAACCAGTCAGGGCTAAACTATCTAAACAAGTAATGTCAGTACATACATAGAACGGGGAATTTTATATGCACTTCAAAAAGCCATATTGAGACAAACTTATTTTACTTGGAATTAAGGAAAGAATACTTACTGATTTTGCTCATGTTATCTGTCTTTTGGCAATGATGATGGTTTTTTGGAAGCAGGAGATCAGTCATAGTTCCTAATGAGCACACATTAAAAAGTCAAGGTTTGAGTTAAGAGCAGTTAGTTGGCAAAATGTGGCAGTGGGGAAGCCAGCTGTTGCTTCAATCTGACCTACAAAATGATGATGTCATCGCAACAACAAAAATACTTAACTCTAGGCAATATTGCAAGATATATAATATAGCTAAGCCAAAAGTGAGTAAGTAAATACGTTAGGGAAAGAAAATCCTTAAGATGTGGTTTTATAGCTAGTTCAGTGTCTTTGTAGAAATGTATAAGTTTATATTCTTCCCTTTATGGATCTTTGAAACACTATAGCCCTTTTTGTGTATAGAAGAGTGATCTCTTGTACTGACTTACTACTTTTAAGCTGCCAAAGGACCCTTGTTCCGTGAGCTTTGTAGATTTAGATTATCCTATACAAATAGAAATAAAAATCAGATTAATCTCTGAAATTTTATAATTATGGATGTGTACTTACTTAGTATCTACCTTCTCAGTGACCCCTCCCCATAATTCTAGAGGAGGGTTATAGAAATGGAGATGAGAATCTGCCCCTGGATGCATGTGAGTTCTTCAGCATTACTTTTAAAATAGGCTTTATTGTTTTGTTTGTGTTTCAACTAAACCACAAAAGCCAGGATTTGCAGATTTTTAGGCTGAAATTCCATCTCTAACACTGTTTTTCAGCCCCATGTGCTGTGGAACATGACCCACTGTTTGGAAATCCTGCAACAGCCAGGCACAATAAAAAGTTAAGGAGTTTGAGGCCATATTTCTAAATGGTCTTCAGTTGTTGAATATTCGGCACCTCTAACAATGCGTAGGTATCCAGTTTGTAAAGCACTTTGTGTTCCTGCAGGATGAAAAGCACTATATAAACGTAAAATAGTACTTCACCACTGATTCAGTGGCTTAATTTTCTGTTATCCTTTCTAGTATTAAAATGCAGGAAGCAAAGTTGATCCAATTCATGCATTAAAAAGCTCCATTGTGGCCATGATTTAAAAAAAAGAACAGAAAATGGCACCTTTTTACTGTACACATCTGCTCCCTGGATATCTTTCCCAGGAACATCTGCTTAGTTTGACAAATAACTTTACGCAGAACCAGCATAGTTGGCAGCTCTGTTGCAGCTGGAGGTAGAATGGAATACAGCTTATGTTCTGCAGTTAAATGGACATTGTCAATTTAAAAAATAGCACTCCTATCTGAATTGTTTTACCTATTTTTTCTTATAAGCAACACCTAAGATGGCTGTAACTGGAAGCGATGAATCTTTTCAGTTGGTTTACCTTGTGCATTTGGCAACATTTTGTGCATAGTCAGCGTCACCGTTTCTCTGTGTTTGAGTCTTTTCACAGGGCAATGGTGGAGGGAATCAGCACCTAGTACAATGGGACTATTGTGTTTATAAATAGACTTTCAAGTCATTTGTTAAAAATTTACTAGATTTCATGTTGGCTGTATCTCTTTCAAGCTCTGATTTAGAGAATACATTTTTGGTTGTTTGGTAATATACAAAGCAGAAATAGAAGCTTAGTGAAGTCTGTTATGATCTGAATATATACATTTACTGCTGAAATGTTTAATCAGCCATTTCTTTTCCCTCAGAGAAAATGAGGGGGTGTCCGTGGTTGAGTTTTTCTCCTGATAAATAAGTGCTGGTTGTTTTAAGAGAATTAATTACACATTAAAAGTCTGATGCATACACTCCAAACTGGGAGCCTGGGTGAGGGTAGTTTTTCCTTAAAAATTTGTATCACTATTTCTGTTGACAGAGCTATTTTCAGGTGTGCTTTGGGAAAAATGTTGGAGTTGAGGTAGTCTGATGCATCTAGATATTAACCTCAAATGTCTCATGGGGAACCCTCCTGGTCCATGTGCACTGGCTGCCTTTTCTTTGGCTATCCTTGTACAGAAAGATCTTGGGAGTCATCAGCCAAACTGCTGAACTCTTTTCTCTCTGCTTTTTCTTCTCCTCTAACACCAACATACCTTAAAAATCTTACTTGTCAGTACTGCAAACTGGTTCTGAGTGCAGGGTCAAGCAGTTGCTGGGGTGTGGGACATTCCCTTGAAGCACTTAACTTCAAAGAGCTGCTGTCTGATTAAAACTTGAAGGGATGTGTTGAAGCTTAGGTATGTCTACACTACAAAATTAGGTCGATTTTATAGAAGTCGATCTTTAGAAAGCGATTTTATACAGTCGGTTGTGTATGTCCCCACTAAACGCATTAAGTTGGCGGAGTGCGTCCTCAATACCGTGGCTAGCATTGACTCTCAGAGCAGTGCATTGTGGCTAGCTATCCCACAGTCCCTGCAGTCTCCACTGCCCATTGGAATTCTAGGTTAAGCACCCAGTGCCTGATGGGGCAAAAACATTCTCGCGGGTGGTTTTGGGTACATGTCATCAGTCTCCCCTCCCTCCCTCCCAACCTCCATGAAAGCAATGGCAAACAATTGTTTCGCGCCTTTTTTCCTGGGTTACCCATGCAGACACCATTGCATGGCAAGCATAGAGCCCACTCAGCTCACCGCTGCTGTTGCCAGCATTGTAAACACCTCACGTGTTATCCTACAGTATGTGCAGAACCTGGCTAGGAGCTGCCAGTACGAGGATGATTGTGAGGAGGACATGGACACAGACATTCCTGAAAGCACAGCATGTGGCAGTTAGGACATCATGGTGGCAGTGGGGCAGGTTGATACAGTGGAACGCCAATTCTGGGCCTGGCAAACAAGCACAGACTGGTGGGACTGCACAGCGTTGCAGGTATGGGATGATCCCCAGTGGCTGCAAAACTTTCGCATGCGTAAGGCCACTTTCCTGGAACTTTGTGAGTTCCTTTCCTCCGCCCTGAAGTGCAGGAATACCAAGATGAGAGCTGCCGTGACAGTTGAGAAGCGAGTGGCGACAGCCCTGTGGAAGCTTGCAACTCCTGACTGCTACCGGTCAGTTGGGAATCAACTTGGAGTGGGCAAATCTACTGCGGGGGCTGCTGTGATCGAAGTAGCCAGTGCAATCACTGACCTTCTGCTAACAAGGGTAGTGACTCTGGGAAATGTGCAGGTCATAGTGGATGGATTTGCTGCAATGGGGTTCCCTAACTGTGGTGGGGCGATAGATGGAACTCATATCCCTATCTTGGCACCAGACCACCTTGCCAACCAGTACAAGGGTACTTCTCAACGGTGCTGCAAGCACTGGTGGATCACAAAGGACATTTCACCGACATCAACATGGGATGGCCAACATCAACATGGGATGGCCGGGAAAGGTGCATGACGCTCACATCTTTAGGAACTCCAGGCTGTTCGAACAGCTGCAAGAAGGGACTTACTTCCCAGACCTGAAAATTACCATTGGGGATGTTGAAATGCCAATAGTTATCCTTGGAGACCCAGCCTACCCCTTGCTCCCCTGGCTCATGAAGCCGTACACAGGCAGCCTGGACAGCAGTAAGGAGCAGTTCAACTATAGGCTGAGCAAGGGCAGAATGGTGGTAGAATGTGCCTTTGGACATTTAAAAGGTCGCTGGCGCTGTTTGCTGACTAGGTTAGACCTCAGCGCAACCAATATTCCCATTGTTATTACTGCTTCCTGTG